GTCACATGCAGGTTCAACATGTTTATACTTTATAAATAGCTGACATATCAAACAGCTCCGTAATATGGGATACGAAAGACTACATGTTTTCTTATAATAAAACAAAATACGACTGTTTTATTACTGCGACAATATTCCTCTAGAGCTTTATATTGATCTACTTAGGGCAGTCTATGTGAGTGATATTTTATGTTACAAGCTTCTATAAAGTTTGAGTGGATATACATACTTAATTGTTTGAGTTTCTTTTTGTATTTCACTTTGGATTTATCTTTCGAGAGCAACACCACAGAGTTTTTCAAAGGTCGTGATCCGAACTTTGATGGATGGTGTCGATAGACAGTTTTGACAGCATTCAAAACTGTGACACACTCAGATAAATTTATATTTATTCATCGTTACTTCAATTTAAAATACTAACTTTTTCAAATAAATTTAATTCCTTTTTGATATTATATATTTAATTGTTTTGAACAAGGAATATAAAGTAATAAAAACAAATCTTCACTCAAAAACAAAATTATAACAAGAAATTTAAGAAAACATCAAAAACATAAACAAGCAAGATGTTTGGCAAATGCTCAGAGAATGGACGTGGAGTATTAAGAAAGCAGATAAGAGCTGGCGGAGGCTTAAACTGCTTTAGATATTGCCCGGGGGTATCGTAGTATCGTTTTCAAAACAGACCCTAAACTTCATACAAATCCTACTCTTAAGGAAGATTTTCCGTAAAGAAGTTATATCCGATAAAAAATCATCGCCACTAATTTATTTAAACTATTATTATTCATAAATAAATTAAGTTTTTAAATTCTTTCTTAATGAACATTTAACTAAATTGCGGATAATAAAGTTAATTTCGTTCCTCGTCCATTAAAATTGTAACACAAAAATTATAATGGAGCAACTGAGTTATTTGAACCCTAAGCGTTCCTGTGGGAAAACGTAATGTTCATGTAAATTAGGTCGAAATCCTGTTGGCGCCTCAATCTGTTATACTAAAACCGACGCGGGTCCTTTTCAAACTTTACCTACGGATACGATTGAACGTATATTTTTTGAATGTATTTTTTTGTTCAGGTGGCTCCCGAAAATCCACAGTATTTGAGGTCGTCGGCACAATTTTATAGTTTTATTGCATATTGAGACGTACTATTTTGTGATATATTTTCAATACCCTCATATAAAACAACGGTGGAGTCTTAAAGCATTTGCAATCCAATTTTCTATATAAATTCAGGTTTCCTCTAGACGCATTTCACAACTATGTACTTTGTAAGACATGTACTTACATATTATTTAGTTTCGAGAATGGAGACATTCTTATCCTTTCAAAATAAGAAACAAATCCGACTCTAAAGTAAGATCAGTACCCGTAGTATGAATTACAGTTTCTGCTGGCAAACATAGAGTTTTATATTCATAAATAATTTAATATCTTTCGGTTTTTATTTTAAAACACTCACATAACAATCATTATAAGCTGCTATAATATATAAATGTAAAAAAGTGCTTGATAAAGCCTTTATACAAATCTCCGTCTTGTAAATCGTAAATATTTCCCGAATAAATGAGAAAGAGTACAAAGGGTATTCACAATAAAATTATTGTTGGTAAAGCACAAAATAAACATAACAAAATTCCTTCAAAATTAATGTTAATTGCAGTTCTTATCTCGTACCGCCAAATAGCAATTAAAACGAATGCTTGGGGACAAACCACAAACTCGCCGTAGAAAAGATAACGTAATTTTCATAAGGGAATTCTTCTAGAACGTAATTTATAAAGTAAATTCACTAAGCCCGTTACCGTTCGGAACCGTGGGAACGAAGAGATGCCTTGCAAAGGTGAGCTTGCAATTTGCCTTTATTCACCATCTGCCGGCGCCAGACAGCGGAATTGCACGATTTTGGTACTGCGATGTAACCGAACAAAAAGTTTTGTCATTACAATGCGGGGTGAAGATTGCTTCACTAAAAACGTGTTAGCACTCCTTATTTTTATACACTTGCGAAACTTCCGTTGTGATTCAAGTTTCAAGGTGTTCCCAGTTTTAATGATGACAATATTTTTTTATTGTTATTTTATTAACAAAGTAAACTTACTGACTTATATTTTGCCATACGATTTTAAAATAAATAAAAGTGAAGCCTAATAGGTAGTTTCATTTGTTGGGTAATGAATAATTAATTTGTTTTAGAAGAAGAAGAAGAAATATATTTAAAAATCAAAATATGCACATATTCTCCGCATATTATCATAATGGAGGGATGAATAGAACATAACGTATTGAATAAGAATACGTCCTCATTTTGATAGATATTGTAAAAGAATTATCTTAGATCTCCTTGGATGAATATGAATGTCGATCCCAACGGGAGGGCTGCAGCAATATGTCAAACGACGGACACAGCTTCAGAGAGATTGTCTCTTCGATATTGCTAGTTGATTACTAGAATATGAAGCCATAATTTTGAACTAGTGCTCCTCATAAATCGTTCGTATAAATCAGAATTGAAAGAAACCTAAAATTTATTCCAATGTGATTCGAATATAAAATATACGATAAAATTCAACATTCTTCTTTACAATTACATGATTTAAATATATTTCTTAATTGAAATTCATATTTTGTTCCTTAATAAAAAAAATTCTTGTATAAAAATTTATAAAACACTAATTAAGTTTAAATGCGTACACTGTATGTAATGTGAATGCAGAATATAACATATTTTAACACTGGCAAAACGGCCCCACAAATATTCATTAATCCCCTAATACAAGCAAATGCACTAAATTCGCATGTCGCGTGCCGCCCGCATACCTACATAAACAGCGACATAAAGCATCTAATTGAATCTATAACGATTCCCGATTTACTGGTAATTAATACTGGGGTGAGCCTTGTCTGTTTTAAATGTGGCTGGTGGCAATTGTTTTAGGCATATTCGACCATAGACCATTAAACTAATTGCGTGAATAAAGCATAGACTATTAAACTAATTTATAATCCTCGTTGTAATTCATTCACTATAATATGTAATAAACTATTCATTTTGCACAATATTACTAACATATTAAAGAATTTTTGATGCAATACTGCAACTTTTTTATAAATATATATGTATTAAGATATTTTGATTAAATTATAAATTCAATTTATTTGACTATAATACTATTCCCACGATCCTAAAATGAATCTATGACAATATATGCGGGTATCACGCGGTTAAACATTATAAATACTTTAGAAGTGTTAATGGATAATGAGACCCCTATGAACCATTATTATGATTGCTCTATGAGAAGATTTCTGGAAATATTATGATATTTCTCAAAAATATTCACAACCGAGATATTCATTTATTTTTAAATCCGCTCTTGCATTTTTTTCGTTGATATTAAGACCGAAACATGGTCAAAACAAATCAAAAGTTCAGATTTCATTTGATCTGTAGTGATTAATGATTAAAAAGAATACAATCTCAACAAAACAAAGATGTGACAGTTTTAATATCTTTTTTAACGACTAAAAGATGAATTATTTCTTGCAACGGTTTCTTTTAAATTCCCTTTGAAAGCTACACATTTTTTATAACTTGATTCTTCTGGGGACTAGGACCGTTAAATAAATCCGGCTAATCGCAGCACTGTGAATCTCATATTGTCCAGACATTGAATGCCTTCATTGTCTACTGAAGACAGTTTAGTACTCGGTTTCGATACAGCACAAAAGATTTAATTTATATTTAATTTTTTACTCTATTTCGTTCAAATTAGGGCATATTTTTGAAAGCAATGTCGAAAAGCTAACGTTAAACAAAATAGTTAAAGGTAGACAAGATTGATGTAACGGCCGTTGGCAAGTTCGCGCACGTGCTGAAAACGGGTGTGCGGCCTGTGCTTAGTCAGATATAAAAAAAGGTAAAAGACAATATTATGTATGGAGCTACAATTTTTGTTTTGTTAAACATTTCGAAATTTGAATGTGATAAATATTTTTTTAGACTACTAAGTTTTATATAAAGTTAAACCTTTTTTCGGTCGTTTATTAATTTATGCTTTGGTGGATAACATATTTTTTTTATTTCTTTTCATTTTTTTTTCTAAATCTCTTCATATTTGAATTTATCTTATAACTGTTACTATGATTCTCAATTAACTTAGAAGTTTTTCTTATAGATGATTTGAAAACCAGGACGTATTAAAGTTACCGCGTAAAAACAAAGTAATATAGTTAAGTTTTTTGAAAGAACATCTACGGAGTTCGTTTAGCCAACCATATTTTTTGAATTACTTACCATCATAATATTAAGTTTTCTCACAACTTCTCTTGATATTAATTTGCAGAATTTATAACTATATTTTATATAAATTGTTCTTTAAAATTTATGAAAATAGTGCGAAACATAAGATAAAGACAATAATTTATTTAAAGTCTATTAACTATGTTTATTTTGTGCGGGTAGGCTCAAGTATTAAGTTGTCAAGATACAAGGGCACTATGCTATAATCGAAATCGTATTACAGAGGTTTTGAATTAAAGGGAAATCTACATTATTTAGTATATTTTTACAAGGTAAGCAAAAATTAAAAATACCATTATTGTTATTTTACCTTCCTTCATTAGGTAATACGAAAAAGTGTGTGAGTCATCAGTACCAACATAATGATTTCTGAAGTCAACGATAATTACACTTCAATATTTAAAGTCTGTATCGTGCACCATTTGTAAAATAAAAAATTGATTAAGGTTTGTATTGGTGTGTAATCATCTTACGAAAATATAATGTTATAAATTTAACGAGACATAAATTTTATAAGATTATCTTTATAACTCATTAGATATTCAATTTGGGAGTTAACAGTATTTAGTGTCTCTCTTTTCAAAACCACATTTTAATAAAAAGTGAATTTAATTAAAGAGTAAAGATATTTAGCAATTAAACATGATGTTATATGCTTCTATTAAGTGTTTTAACTTGTTTTAGGATAATAAAATGCCTCACAAACTGAAAGTGGAATTACTGAGTAAGAAGGCAAGTAATTTGAAAGTGGCGCCTCACCCAGTTAATAATACTGCTTCAGGTACAGTGATGAACGATAAAGAAGATCAAGAGCTTATAAGTAAGTGGCCCAAGCTAAAAGATAAAATACCTGATATATTTTTACATAACCCTGAAAACTTTCTTGACCATCTAGACAGACTAATAAGTTTGGATATAAAGATTTTGGAACCATGTCTATGTAGATATTATACAAAAATAAAATGTCCTACATTGAGTGATTACAAGGGTGTGATAAAAGTGTTTAATGATTTGAAACTGCCTTATAATACATTTGGACAAGCAAATAAACGTAAAATGAAAGTTGTTATAAGGGGTCTTCCTAAACAAGTTGATTTGAATAAATTAAAAATAGAATTCAACATTTTATCAATTCCAATAGTGAGAATTCATAAAATGCAAGTGAATGAGTATAAACAGGAAAATAAAAGCCTCATTTTAGCTGTAGTGCCTTATAATGATAATGGCAAAAAACTTTTGAGAGTGAATAAAATCTTTGGACATCCTATTACCATGGAACCGCCTAAACCTAAAACTAAGCAATGTCATCGTTGCCAACTCTGGGGCCACACACAGAGATATTGCCATGGTAAGATTAAATGTGTGAAATGTGCTGGAGATCACATGTCTAAGAAATGTGAAAGAGATCCAACCAAATTACCACCTAAATGTGCTAATTGTGGGGGAAAGCATACAGCTAATTACAGAAAATGTCCATGTTGTCCAGACTCAGAAGAGCACAAGCTAACACAAATCATTAAAAAACAAAATTTGTGTACTGCAACTAAGTGTGAATAAAGAAATCAAATAAAAAAAACGTACAGAAAAAGAAGTCTCAGAATCTAAGGACTTATTACTAGACTTCATATTCGTACTTCATCTAGCTGTCTCATATTATCATTGTGATTTAAGAAAAAATAAATACATAACTTTGTTAAAAAGATATTATTATTTAATTCCTTAAGTATATTTACATTATATATGTACAAACACTTAACAGCTATGAGATTACTTTACAAAATTTAATCATATTGCTTTCAACAACTGTGGCATATTAGTTTGCAAACTGCTGTTACTGACTTCATCCCTTATTGGTGTGACCAGCATCTGTAAAGAATTAAATAATTAATTTACAGATTTAATTAATTATATTCTTAATTATGTATTTGCATAATTATTGTATTATTCAAATAAGTTAATCTTGATTGGGTGTGATTCCTTAGATTGTTAATGTAAAGCAGTCACTTGTGAAGTATTAAAGTTCTAAAATAAGCATATTTATACGAATAAGAATAATCAATTTCATTGCAAAATTACGATTGATTTTACTACAGAAAGTTATAATTTATAAATAAATAATATTTAACGATGTAGGTATATTGGATTTTTACCTCCAGTTTGACATTAACTGTCATGCCGCCGTCTAATTCAGATAGCACTCGATCCAAAGTATCAACTAATCTATCAGCATCCTGAGTTGTGAACACCATGGGTGGCTTGAATTTTAATACATTGCTGTCTGGTCCATCGCGACTTATAAGTATTTTTTCTTCACGCATTCTGTCAATTATTCAAAACAATTATGTACCACAATGAATTTTTTTAAATAAATTTTGTCACTGCTTCTTTGTAATTATAACTAAATTATTTTTTCTTCGTTATTAATGGACCTACCTGTTAACAACATGTTTAGCTTCTGCTGTTGCGGGATTTCTAGTTTCACGATCAGTCACAAGTTCGACACCAACAAAAAGGCCTCTACCACGGACGTCTCCTATCAATTTGTGCTTGTGTTGAAGACCTTCGCAACGAGACAAAAGATGGTTCCCAACTCGTGCTGCACGCTCCATTAGACGTTCTTCTTCTATCACGTCTAATACTGCATTAGCTATAGCGCAGGAGACAGGATTGCCTCCATACTATAATATAAACAGAAAATATTGATACGTGCAACTACTAACCTCATAGATACATAGTTATATAATCTAAAATACTTACTGTGTTAAAGTATTCGACACCAGTGTCTGCGAAACTTTTTGCGATCTCTGGTGTAGTAATAACCGCAGCTACAGGATGACCGTTACCCATGGGCTTTCCCATAGTAACGATATCTGGCACAACACCTTGAGTCTCGAATGCCCACATGTGAGTGCCGACTCTTCCAAATCCCACTTGAACTTCATCAGCTATACATACTCCATGAGCTTCCCTCACGTGTCTAAATAAATATTAAGAAATAAAGATATAATATTCCTGCAGTCAATAAAAGAAATCTTTTAAAACTTCTACAAAAATAAATATTTGCCTAAACTGTTCATGACCATCATAGTAACAAAGCACATTGTCAGAAAATAAGCTCAGTTATTAATGTCAAAGCTCAACAACAACTGAGTCTTCATATATTATTTTGTATCATTGTTGATGCATGACAACGACGCTACTTGTATTCTCAAAGGAAGTTATAACTGCTAGTATATTTGTTCACATTTTAATGACTACTCTACTTTTATTTTTAAGTTAATGTTGTATTATAAAACTCGTTAAAGCTTATGTGGTTTTTATAAGAATTCATTTTAGTAGGTAAAAAGTATTTTAGATTGCTAGACATAAAATAAACAGAAAAAAACCTTACTTATAAACTTTCTTTAGGTAGCCTTCGGGAGGAATTATTTGTCCCCCACAACTTTGGAGACTTTCTGCTATAAAAGCGCATACACCGCCCTTCTTCTTAATTTCGTCGCATAGTTTTCCCACCTCATCAGCGTATAATTTTCCTAAGTTTTCCTCTGATGTCGAGTCGTTTGGATATGTGTATTTTCCTCTATACACATCAGGAACTGGAGCCTAAACATAAAATGAATTATGATTATATAATACGTTTTTTTATTCAATACATTTCATCTTCGGAACAAAAATATATACATTCATAATTTAAAGTATTTTTAATGTCTTTAGATTCAAGTTTACTTTTTTGTAATGAACGTACAAATGTAACAAGCAAGTATACATACTTCTAACTAAATAATATTTTTGTTGAACAAAGCAAAACAAATTTTGACAAGTTAAAAGAGAATTTGCTACTAAACATACATTTTAAAATTTTCAATAAGTAAAAGAATAGAAAAGTATATTTTGTAGTTTTGACGTATATAAAAGACTTTCGAATATTTTATTTAACAATATACAAAGTTTTAATATATTTTATATACAAATATTATACATGAAAGTTTTATTAGCACAATTGATGTATGATTAACAATATGTTATTAGACTGTTAAAAACAAAGATAACAAATAATTTAATTTTCAAAACTGCATTAAAATTACAGATTCCCGATCATTATAAAATATAATTATCATAGCATTTCAAAAAAAAAAGTTTTTACATTAAAAAAAAACATAAAAGGTTGTTATTTGTTTACAGTTCATATACCATGACTAGGCAATTTACATTATAAGACTAAATACTATAATTTAATTACAACGTTATCGTCAATTATGTAGTCTGTCAAACATTAAATACGCTAACAGATGAGTAATGGAAATCTTTAACATTCAAATCGCTTTATCGTAACTACAATATTCATATATATGAAAACGAATAGACTGTTTGATGAGAATCATATATGCATCATACTGAATTTCATACTAGAAACGTTGCGGGCCTCAACAGGGAGAGGTACAAGGCCAACTCACCACATGAACCCAATCTGGTTTCTCTGGGCCTCCTGGTAGGTTTAGTTTGTAGGGGGACACATCAATCATAGACGTAAGGTGACCATGATATGCGCTGTAACAAACAGGGGCTAGTAGCACCCTAAAATACTCCTCCTACCCTACACCCCATAAAGATATGTCCTACGTCTAAAACTATCTGTATCTAAGAATATTCAGGGAAAATTTTCCGGTAAAAAAAATATCGTTTTCTAAACTTCCCTATTCATTAATGTTACCTACGGTCTTCTAACCAAAATAAATTGATCTTCCTCGATAAATTACCGTCATAATTTCATAGGAAAGGTTCTTATAATGTTAAATAGAATCTATTATATAGTAGTCATTATATTAAAATCGACATCCCTATCTTCGCTACCCATATCAACGGTAAAATATTATGAATATAATTTAGACTTACTGGTCAAGGGTGATAACATCCTTCCTCTTAGTGTGAACTCTGGCTAATCTCAAAGCGAGATCATTAGCTTCAGAGCCGGAGTTTACAAAGAAACAAACTGAAAGTGGTTCGGGCATCGTCTTAACTAGTCTTTCAGCGAGCATCACGATTTCGTCGTGAAGATATCGATTATTGGTGGATATCAATGACATCTGATTACGACCAGCTTCAACGACGTGTGGGTGACAATGACCAACTAGAAATATAATAATATAATTCGTACACAATGAAATGAAATCGTTATAAAATAATAATAGCAGATAAGTTCGTGCTTTGATATGTTATTTGCTTTATTAATTAATGAAATTACCGTGTGCGACATTGTTGATGCAGTCGAGGTATCTCTCGCCTGTCTCGTCATACATAAATTGGGCGACACCCCTCACTATTTTTAGAGGGGATGAACGGAAAAACAACTGGCAGGCGGCTCTGGAACAAATTTACTGTTTGAAATCTCCGCCCAGCTCCTGTACCCTAGCGGAACAGGCAATTAATACTGATAGATCGGCTGTGATAAATGTTAGGCTTAGTTTATTTATTACCTTTTCAAACCAACTTTACACTTTAACGGATTGTTTAATTAATTATTAATTACTATATAATCAATCTTGACGATTAGAAAAATGTTATCTTACCCGATGTGTTTTTCCCTCAGTTTAATAGTTTCTGATTTAGGCATTGACTGTAGGTAAGCCATTGTATAAAATATGTAATCTGTAAAAAAATATTCCTATAAGTCTTTTCGCTTAGTTAAAGTCGATCGTAAGATTTAAATATGTATTTTTTTTTTTAAATAAGAAGATCAAAAGAATTTCCTCTTCAACCGCAAAAAGGAAAATCTCCCGTATTTCATTATTAAATATTATTCCTATTTATGCTATCCAAATACAAAACCCAAGAATTTTTTTAATGATTTACCGTAAATATATTTTATAATTTATAAAAAGGGATGTTTATATATAGAAATTTTATCGTTACTTTAAAAGTAAATCTTACCCGTGCGTTATATAAATAGAATACTGATTATATTAATACTAATGGAAACTAACTGATAAACTATGAGATGATGTAACGTCACGTGCGACTCGTGATCTTGTAATGCTGTGTTATTGTTCGATACAACACATTATATACAAGTTGGCGGTGTCTCGCACGCCCTCGCCTCATCCAATGGAAAACAAAAGATTTCATACTATCAGTGCAATAATATGATAAGCGTACATGCCTCAAGAAGAAGCTAGCCACGCGTCCGATGTCGCTTAGTCATGAACGCGACGCATGCTTCTTAAGGCGACGCATTCTTTACAATTCGATAGTTAAAACAACGGATATTGTATGGAATTTTTGACTGGTCTCATAACGAAGGTTCAACCTTTTTATTTGTTTCTTATTATTTCTTTTAATATATATAAAGTGTTAAAAATAATACCAAATTAATATTATACGGTCCTAATGTAACAGTATAATGTTTACTTCTAAATTTAAGAAAATATTGCGAGCCTTTCACCGATTAGTTACAGTACAAAGTATTTCGGTAAACTCAATCGTCAAGAAATAAGGGGAAGGTATATCTCATTTGTCCTTATAGGAAAAGTTCGTTTAGACAAAGTTGTTTTTCTCAATCAAAGAAACGAAGAAAAGTTTTCGAGAGCTTTGGTTGCTTTATTGCGAGATGCCAGGTTAGAATTTTTAACATTGTACATAATATCTAGATTCTATTTACGCAATTAGAAAGGCAATCATAGCACGCAGTAATTTCCTTTATAATAAAACATTATTGTAAACAAGGCTGTAATTGTTAACGTTGCATTCCATAAATAATTTATTATTAATTTAATAGATACACATTAATTCTAATGATTATATGATGTAAATGGGACCTTAGAACCTTATCGCTATTTGTATTCCGTTGACATCAATAATAATCATGGAACAGGAAAAATCTGGATATTTTAACGAAGACCGAAAAAGATTGTAACAATGATTACACATAATATAATAAATATTTTAAAAATATTTTTGAAATAATTATGCTCAAAAGTGGAACTTAGAAGATAATTTCAAATTACAAGTAAATTGTAAAAACAAGATTACGATTTATCATAAACAAATCATCCCGCGACCTATCCAATGATATTTATAGATATGTAAAACATAAACAGTAAATAGTTATTTATATATACGGCATTGGATCACTGCGGATGTATTTATGTTAACAGTGTCCTCTTCCTTAGGGGGTACAATGATAGAACTATGATCTTCAAAACATCCTTATTAAAGCCCGTTTTATGCGAATGGCATTTTCATATAACCTATAGTTGAACAGGATAAGTACATATTTAAAGTTCCTTTAAAATAAGCGTAAAAAATTTCACTAAAATATATATTTTTTATTTAATATACATACTTATGTATATCGACTGATAAATGTTGATTGACACTTTTATATTAATATTAAGTAAAACTATGTTTATCAATTGTATTTCACGATAAACTAACGCTTAGCCTTATCCTACATATATTTAATATACTTGGTCGAAATGCCTTAGATATAAATTCTCGTTTTAATAAGGAGGGTCAAAATATTTATGTAACACGCGTGTCGAAATACTGCCGCTAGCACGTGTTAAAGAAATGTTCACTGTCTGTAATATTACAAATCCATACAAAGATTACCGAACAAAAAAAAAACTATCTTCAGAAATTATATGTTACGATATTGATAGTATTTTAAGCCTCTTGTTACATTGTTTATAATTGTATAAATAAATGATCATTCATTTTATCATTAAAATATATATGAATTGATTCACGTCATTTATGTAAATATGAAATGTTCTGTATTTAGATTTGTAAATAATATTAGATAAACATTTTACGTTAAATATTTGATGCACCTTGTCACACATCAGAATCGAGTCAATAAAATTATCTTATATATATTCGTAACAATGATAATTCAATGCATACAATCATGACATTGTAGTCAAATATTTAACATGGAGTATGGTTTGATTACACTTGCAAATGTTTTCGATTTATTCATAATTTCTTTTTACTAGAATACACAGTTACATAGTTTTTACATTTAAACTAGATTCATTTACGAAAGCTTAAAGAAAGATTTCTGTTAACACAATACTAGGTAATATATTATAAAAAATAGTGTCTATCTTTTAAAAGAAATTGTCTGCATTTTATAAGAAAAATATTTTTATATATCGATCACAAATATATTGAAACATAAGTCTATTTTTTTATGTTAAGTATTAGAAAAGTATAACATACTTAAATCTCATATATATATATAGGATAAAACCTATAAATTCTGAAAGTAATTTTAGTACCAGCCTGAAAATACATTAAATGTCTGGAATATCGAGCGAAGCCGGTGGCAAAATCTAATCAAAAATAATATACTTATAACAACTCACTTAATACGTAACTCTATTCAGGAAAATGTGATAGCATAAAATTATACGTCCTCGTTAAATCTTGTTCATAATAAATTATTTAAAGGTTTTTCCATTTTTTTGGGATCCCTAAACGGTAATATAATATTAATCTATTTAATTAATTCATTCATATATAACCACAAATTGTCAGACCTCAAAAGCTTTAAACATATTTATATATAAACTTTCTGTACGGTTAGTGGGTTAGTTTACCCTTTTTAGTTAAACTAACATGCCAACTTTTCAGTGAGAATTAGGTTCTTCGTATTTTATAACGCTTCGTTAAGTGAGATACATTTAGTAATTAATGTATAAAAGTATTGGTTTAAATTGAATTTACTTTATGTAGTCAATATTTTATATACATTTTCTTAACTTTTATTGTTGTAATTTATACGTAACTAACCTTTTCTGTTGGGGCAAATATTTTTGTTTGATCATCTTGTTTGCGGAATATTTCTTAAAGAAGCGTCAGTATTATACAAACATATTGTTTGTCAAAGTATATTTCTCATTCATATCAGTAAACAACGTCAATATAAAAGTAAATAAAAATATTAATACTTATCTAATATGTAATATCGTCACTTACTTAAGTGTACAAATTTTATTTCACCTACTATAATTAGGTACCTAAAATAAATTACAAAATTAGTCTTTTAGTACTTATATGTAAAATACTACATCTTCAGTTTAAATCCATCAACTTCTTATAACTTAAAATGCCAGAAAATAATTAACTATCAAACAAATAACTGTAGTTTGACATTCATCAAAATTATATTCGCTTGTGTAATATATCTTCTAACTTATGATAAACAAAACACGTACTAGCTATGAAGTAAATTCAAACAAATACAGCGAATAAACCTAAATATGAACAGATTTCATATTTACTACAGACAAAGAAATGAAAATGCTGTGGCGGATGTGCGGATGTGCGGCGGTCGACTGTTAGTCCGCATACCTAATGACACATCCGCGGCGACAGACGACCCCAACGTACGTGACTAGCCAGGGAATCTTCAGAAATATGAACATTTCAGTCCCCCGCTCGGCACTTAACAATTCCAGACGGAAGCATTTTTGAAACCACTTGGTATGTCGTAATTTGACAGACGTGTAATAAGTTCATAAGCGCTTATGTCGATATAATCATAATACGACTCAGATACGATCTTTTATAGCAGCGGCGTCCTTACATTATTAAGCAACATTTTTACGATAATTAATTTCATAATAGATTGGTTACAACCGTTCTGTAAAGTTTTAAAAATAGATAATTTAATGTAGGTTCATTAAGATTGTATTTACTATTTTTATCAATGTTCAAACAGTCCTTTGATATTATGGGTTATCATTTATCAATATTTAACTTCATTTATTTTAGTAATCACGTCATCTTAGTTAAGGGCAAATGTTATCGTGTGAAGTTATAATCTAATAATAATAAACTATATTTACATACCCAGAGCTATAAATGAAAGTAACTACATAATGAATGATCTATAGGAACTATCCAATTACGTACATAGTTTTGTTGTTTCAAAAATCATTCCTACTTTAATGTAATACTCGTATATAACTTTTTTGGGTGACACAAATAAAGTAAAAAACAAACCTGGACTTAGTTGTGATCACTATCCTCTTGTCGATTTGTTCAATAATCTTAGAGGCGAAATATAATAACAACTACTAGGATTTTAGTATAAAATTAATCTATGAAGTTTTAAAGTAAGTATAAAAGCAAAGGAATATTTCTTTGACAGATATATTTTAAATTTATCTATTCCAATACCACACCCAACGGTCACAACTTTTATCAACAGGTACGGTACTATCACAGAGGAATTTTCTGTATGGCTGGCTTGTTCTTAATTAAATTCTTTTATATTGTTTACTTTGCAGTATGATTTGTCATTATTAAAAAGTTTCTTGTTTGTTTTTTGTACAATATAATAATAACTTAATACATAGGAAACTTTATTGTTAAGTATAGTTTAGACCTTTTTGGGAATCATATTGAAAACTACTCAAAATAACGTCTACAGAATAATAGTTATCAAAATACCTCAAACATAATTAAGAGATAAAACACAAACACTAAATTTGGAAATATGTTCAAACGAGTTATATAGGGTGTATTTCGTTTCCAGGAAAGCTAAGAAACTTACTTATATGCATTTTATAATAAGAATTAAATGACTAAAACTTAAAACCTACTTATATACCTAAGACTACA